GCCACTCAGCCGGCCCTACTGTTTTTTCTTATACATACCTATGCTAAAGTTTAATTTATAAATTAGGCACAGTAACAGATTAGTAACAATAACTAATAATAAAATAGAACAATTAAAACTATATTGTAATAAAAGTTATGTGAATTTGGTCTCTCAGCAGACTAGCACAAAACAACATAATAAATTGTTTTTTTCTCATTATGTTGAGAACTTTCACCTTTTCACTTAAAGGAAGCAATTTATAGCTTTTCTTTGGCTCATCCAAATTACTAGCATCACTGACTGCTCTTGCACTTTGGGGCCATTATTAAGTAAAATAAGGGTTACCTGAACAAAGCACTGAGATACCATGATATTCAACTGATGATGACTAGATGGCTACGAAGTGACAGAAGGGATGATTCATGTTGTAGGTGGAACAGCGCACAATTTATAACTTACGAATTGTTTATTTCTGGAATTTTCTACTTAATAATTTTGGACCATGGTTGACCGCAGGTAACTGAAACCATGAAACGGAAAGTAAACCGTGGATAAGGGGAACTACTATACTGTAAGGTGTTCCCCAGACACCATGTACATTTATTGTGAATACCACACTAATTCACGAGTACTTTTAGAACCACAAATTTGAACAGGGAGAAAAGCCAAAAAAAACCAGAAAAAACAATGTTCCGCATTACTGGGAAACAGATATAGTTAAGTCCTCACTTAACATCGTCAATAGTGTCTTGGAAACTGCAACTTTAAGTGAAATGACATAAAACCAATTTTACCATTGATATAAATAAGAATTAAGTTCCTACGGCATGTTTCTGGTGATAAAAACATCACCAGGGCCGGCTGAGTGACGCGTTGGTTAGGAGTTGGCTTGGGACGCCAGCTCTGAGCAGCAGGGCCCTGGTTCAGATACCACATGGGGGCCAGTGACGCTGGGCCCTCTACAGCTAAGATGGTGAACAACAGCTTGACCTGGAGCTGGGCTGCCGTGAGTTGCCGGCGATGGCATAGGCTGCAGTGGGGCTGGCCGGCAGCTGGCGTGAGCTTTCATGAGCTGCCGTGAGCCACCGTGAGCAGCCGTTCAATGGCCAGCAAGCGACTGCCTCACCCAGGAAGAGCGCAATGATAATACCAACATAGGCCAGTGAAGTGACATCCTGCACAACTAGACTGAAGAACAAAAGGACAGCAACTTGTCTGTTCCCCTTTCCCGATTCCCCTATGCTGTTCTCCTCCCCCAAGTTCCCAATTAAAAAAAAAAAATCTTAAAAAAAAACCCCACAAAACCCACCAAACTTGTAAATAAAGACCCAAAATACTTCTAATAAACATTGAAATGTGAGCTATATATACATTTAAGGAAGATGAATAAAATAAGTAAGATAATGAATTTCCAACCCATCTATTCCCGTTCAGGGGTCAAGGATGACCTGACCCTCTCCTGGCAGCTGGAGTTTAAATCTAGGTATCTGCAGTGACTCATTCATTTCATTCATATATGCATTTGCTCATATACTTAAAACTCATATTCACTTCCTCCAATTTTTTGTTTCACTATCGAAATGCCAGGCCATAATAGTCTTTTTAAAAAATTTTTTTTTAATTGGGGAATTGGGGGGATGGGAACAGCGCTGGGGAATTGGGGGAAGGGGAACAGACACGTTGCTGTTGTTTTGTTCTTCAGTCTAGTTGTGGAGGACGTTGCTTCACTGGCCCAAGTTGGCACCATCATTGCGCTCTTCCCGGGAGAGGCAGATCAGTCGCCGGCTTCTGGACAGCTGCTCACTGCAGCTGCTGGCCGCTCACGCTGGCTGCTGGCTACATACGGTAGCCCATGGCAACCCACTGCCACAGGGGCTGCAGCCCACGCTGTCACCAGCAACTCAGGGCAGCCCAGCTCCAGGTTGAGCTGTTGTTCAGCATCTTAGCTGTGGAGGGCAGTGTCACTGGCCCTCATATGTGGGATCCGAACCGGGGCCCTCTGGCGTCCCAAGCCAGTTCTTAACCATCTTGCCACTCAGCCGGCCCTGGCCATAATAGTCTTATAGTGCAGCGCTATGATCCTACAGATGAAGGAATTGAGGTTCATAGAAGGGTACTGATGTACCTAAGATCGCACAGCAGAAAAGAAGCCCCCTGGCCAGGTTTCACAATGCAGAGGATGGGTGCTGTATTTGAGTTTCAGGTAAAATCTGAATAGCTGTTGCTATGTCCCAATCAGCTTCCCTTCCTTCATCCAACTCTGCTACTCAGGCCACCTGTCATAGGGCCCTGGCGAGATCCTGCAGGGAGTTTCTGCTTGAAGAGCCACTTCCTGTTTGGGGCTGAGCACTTCCTTCAAGTGACTCACAGGCTCCCACTAGTCCCATGCTGGGAAGCCATGGTGGGAGTGGAGACAGGCCTGGGATGTGCCACCCTCTGCCAGCGACCCCAGCTGGGTGACCCTGAGACTGAGCAGTGCCACAGACTAGAGGTAGGAGATGGAGATGGATGGAGAATGCTAGGCTGTTCTCACCCAGCCTGGTGGGCAGGGCTCTGAGAGAAAAGGGAACTTGGGCCGCCATGAGCATGGGGGCAGCCTCCACATCCAGCCATTCCCATATCCGGTTTCAAGGGTACCTGCTGCCCAGGTCGGGGCTGATAGCAGAGCTGGGAGCACCCCACCCCCACCCCTCCAAGGGCAAATTTGTGACATCGTCTCTTCCTTGCAGGACAGAGAGGTGTGATCGAAAGAGCACTAGGCCAGGAGTCATGGAATTGGATTTTCGACACCAATTTTCTGGTGACTTTGTCAGTTCCCTGCCCCTCTCTGGGCCTCAATATCTATGTCTGTCTAATGGCCAGAGGGCTTGCTGGCTGTGACATTTTGTGGCAGCTTGGTATTGCAGGATTTACATTAAGAGAATTGGGATTCCATTCTGGCTTGGCCACCTTGCTGGATATGTCCAGTTCTCAGACGCTCCATTTTAAAATTAGAAATAATGATCACTTTAGGCTTTTTACATAATTTAATCCTCACATCCACCCTATAAGGTAGGTATTATTATTATTGTTATTATTATTATACATAAGGAGGTTGAGGCACAGAGAGGTTCAGTAACTTGCCCAAGGCCACACAGGAAGAGCCAAGATTCTAACTTGGCAGTTTGAACACAGTGTCCGTGCTGTTAACAACTATGGTCTTGGTACTCAAAATTGTGGTCCCTGGACCTGGCAGCATGAGCATCACCCAGGAGCTTGTCAGAAATGTAGAATCCCAGACCCCAACCTAGATCTACTGGGCCGGACTGCATTTTAACAAGATCTCCAGGTGATTTGTTTGCATATTAAAGCTTGAGGAGCCTTGCTTTAGTTATATTCTCTCTGTCACTTAGGCCTTAAGATCACTGTGGGAAATGAAGGAAATATGTTTTGTAAGCTGTAAAGTGCTGTACATTCAGGGCACGGTGAGAAACCTGGGGAATGGAGGTGGAGGGAGGCAGGGCTGAGGGTTTCCCCGGAATCTGCCTCTCAGTAGCTGGCTGTCATTTCCAAGCTGTCTCTGAGCCCAGCGCTGCCCCCTTCCGATCCAAGGCTGAGTCTTAGCTTTGTGTTTCTTGCTGGTGTGTGGCTTCAGGGCCCAAATGAGTTGGAGAGAGTTCTCACTGGCATGGCCTTGGGCTGGGCACTAGGCCTGAGCCACCACTGCCCTGGGTCTGCAAGGCACTAGGAAATCTGGGTTCCAGCCTTGGCTCTGACTCTGATACTCTGGGTGACCTAGGCAGTCCCCTGGCCCTGCCAGCCTGTGTCCCCTAGCGGGCAATGTGGCAGCATCCTCTGAAACTTACAGCCTGACCCGGAGCCCCCTCCCGTCCCCTCCTCTTTTCTCCCCATGGCCTGTTGGCACCTCTCTCCTCCCAGTTCCTGGGCAGGAGGGCTGCTCACAGACTGTAAGCGCTGGTGATGGGGGAGGGGGTGCATGAGTCAGAAGTCAGCCACATAATTGCGGTGCCCCAGATCCCGCCTCCAGCCCACTGGCCCTCCCTCAGCGGCTGCTTTAGAACAGCTGGTTTGGCGGCTATCACCGGAGAAGCAGGTCCCCGGGCAGCACGAAACAGCCTTGCCCCCCAGAAGCTGGGCACAGCCCCAGGTTTCGCCCCAGGGTGGCTGGGTCTTGGGTCATGTTTCCGTGGGTCCTGGGGTAGAGTGGCTCAGGGAGCAGGTTATACTGGGTTTGGGGTTGGGGCTGGTTTGTGGGCAGCATGTGTAGAGGTGAGATTGCATGTACGGGGTCTCATGGCCCACCCCTCACCCACACCACTCACCCACCTGCTTGGCAACTTCTCCAGGGCAGGGACTAGATATGACCCATCCTTGGGCCCCACACCCAACACAAGGTGGGCACAGGGTGAGCGCTCATTAAGGACCAGGTGGGAAAGGAAAAGGCAGAGTGAACTGATGAGTGACCTGATGAGTTTGTCCCCTTGTCCCCGCAGCTCTCCCAGTGAAGTGACATTACCAACTCCGTGGACGGGACACCCCCAGGAGCCCAGCTCACAGCCACTGGTACAATCTTCCAGGTAACGAAAGAGGAAAGGAAGGAAGTGGGGAGAAAGGAGGTAGAGACAAGCTACACAGAGCAACCCACTGGATTCTAAAACAATGTCGTCCTCTCCCATGGGAGCAGCACTGTACAATTTACAAAAAAAAGGCAAAGGGAACAGGGATTATTGTCCCATTTTACAGGCAAGAAAAAACCTGAAGCTCTGAGTAGAGTTGTCTCTTGCTTACTCCAGTGTCCTTCTTACTTATTTATCTAAGCACCTTACATGTGTTAGCTCATTTAATCCTCACAACAGCCCATGAGGTTGGCACTGTTGTTATCCCCACTTTATAGATAAGGAGACTGAGGGAGCGAGGCGTTCAGGAATCTGCTCAGTTAGTAAGTGGTAGAACTGGGTCTCAAACCCAGGCAGACTGGCACTTGGGTACACATTTCTAGAGAGTGACACTTCAGCAAAGGAATGGGAAGCCTTGAATCATGGGATTGGCATGAAACTTCAAGGTGTGCTGGCCACCAGCTCCTGGGACTTCCTTCCTCAGCAGTCGAGCGCGGCCGGTTTTCTTGGGTCTACTGCAGGGAAACCTGGACCTTTGAAAGCGGGGAAGAGAAATGGAGGCCTCAGGTTTTCAGACTTGCCTGGAAGAAGAAGGGCTGCTACTCTTCCCATACCAGCGTGATGAGGAGAGCTGTAAATGACTTTGAGGATATCAGTATTCTGTGCCAAAGTGGAGGTCATCTTCCACTAGACCAGGAACAGAAATGTGCAAGCAGCTCTCAGAGGTTTAAGTAAAAATTGTGGGAGAAAAAATTTTTTTTTAAACACTTCATTGAGACTTTTTTTAGTAACTTAATGTTTCTGTAAATAGGGAAAGGCTAATTATTATTCAGAGGCAGAATTGGGACCAAGCTCTTAAGTGGCTCTGCAATTGTGTGTGTTAAGAGGCTCTGATGGGTTCCTTTTTTCCTTCCTTTGCACATTTAACCAGCTTTTCTGACTGACAAGTAAATGGGTGCCTCCTTGGTGCTGGCCTAGTGCAGGAACACAGGTTCCCTGCCCAGTGACTCCTCTAGCAGGGATGGGGCCTGGGGTATCTTGTGTCCCCATCTCCCGGTGCAGGGCCGCAGACACTGTGGCTCTTCAGAAAAGCTTGGCTGAGTGGATCAGAAGTCTCCGCCTGGGGAAACTCTCAGGCTGGTGGGCAAGGCAGCCACGGAAGCGGATAATTACTGTGCACAGAGGCCTGTGATCACGTCTTAAGAGCTCTGCCAGATGATGTGAGCACAAAGGGAGGAGGCAATGGGCTTCCGTGGGGGTGTCAGACCGAGCTCTGCACAGGGTCCATTTGTTAGGATGGGGTGATGGGGAGGGCTTTCCTGGCAGAGGGCCCAGCATGAGCAAAGGCATGGCGGTGGGAAGGTGGGTAGTGTGGGGCGCTTGGAGCACTGCAGTGTGAGGAGGGGTAGGGGGAGGGGAGGGGAGGCAGGTAGGTGTGAATGAAAGGAAGCAAGAGAAAGATGCCTTAAATGGTAGGACTGGCTTCTCTTCTCACCCCAGGGCCCGTTTGGGAAGCCTGTTTGTATAATCACTCCATTTTACATAAATAAATAAAATAAATCATTGCTTTCCATTCCCTCAGGGGGCAAAAACTAGTCAGAGACAAGTTTGCTCAGTGCAAGTCTCTGCCAGACTCAGCTTCCTGCTCCTTCTCCTCCTCTCATTCGGGTGCCCCCCTCCCCCCTTCCCTGGGACTCAGAGAGAGAGGCTTTGGAAAGAGCCAGCCTGACAGAATCACTTAGCTCCTGGGAGAGGCTGGGGAGTCAGCCCAGGGTGACAGGATGGTGAACGTCTCCCCCCTTACCAGGTCCCAGGCTGGCCCTTGAGACCCAACCAGAGGCCCTGGGGACATTTGCTCACTCTGTCTGCTCCAGGAAGAACCTGTCAGTGCCAGGTTTTGGGGAGTTTCCTTGGGGTGGGGGCAGGTGGCAAGAGGCAAACTGCTTGTGTCAGGAGGGCCCTCCTACAGTCCTGGCTTAAGGAGGGACCCACTCGACCCTTCAGGGAGGGAGGGGCCCATCACCGAGAGCGTGCAAGCCTCTGCAGGCCACTGGGGAACCACCTCAAGGCGCTCTCCTGGGGATTTCTGCGTGGGAAGGGAGGCTGGATGGAAGGGCTCCAGGGCTTTCCTGGTGCTGACATTTGAAGACTTTAATAGTCTGAAATCCAGGGACAGTTCCAAGATTCCTGTTGGATTGCACCAGGATTCCATGATTGTATGTCTTGGGTGAGGTGATTCTAAGACTCTGGCTTAGAGAGTTTGCAGCTGGAGATTTTGAGTCTGCGATGCTGAGAGCTCTGCTCTCTGGGCAAGGTCAGGTCACATCTGGTGACTACTCAGCCCAAGGCCACAGTCCTGACTTGGGAGAGAGAGGTCCTTTCTATGCCAGGAAAACCCAAGGCCCCCGGACAGGGTCCTCATCCTGGCTCCTGTCCAGCCTGTAGCCCCAAACCTGTGGGTCTGTCCCCTGAGGGCCTTAATTGTGAGTGCAGCTCAGCAGACCTAGCCTGACATCCACCAGCCTCCCCTCCTCATCTGTAAACCAAGGATCAGGTACTGACTTGTGGAGCTGGTGAGATGCTTCAATGAGCCAATGTGTGGGGAGGCTCTTTATAAACTGTAAAGCACTGGGCATGTGGTTATAATTGTAGCTGCTGTTGCTGCGATGAAGTCCCCCTCAAAGGAAGGTCCGTGCCTGGTTCTCTGTGAATCTCTTTTGGCTCCCAGCAGTGCCTGGCACAGAGTGCAGGCAGGCCTCTTCAACATTAGATATGGACAGTTGGTTCCAGAGGCCACAGTTCCCTGGGAGAAGCAGGGAGCACTTCCTATGAGAGGGCAGCCGGGAGGCGCAAAGGAACTGGAGAACCCACACCTGGGGTGAAGCGAGCCTGCCTGGTGATGCCGTCAGCCTTGGCCTGCTCCCCAGAGGAAGAGCAATCAGGGGTCTCTCAGGACCCACGACAACGTGTTGGGTAAGCAGGAAGCTCTGACACCACCTTGGGAAGGGATTAATAATGACCCTAATTATGACATGATTGATTCTTTGAGGGTTCCTGCTGAGCCCTAACCTGGGCCACTGAGTACCTTTTTCCCAAAGAATGAGCACAGGTGACACAGGAGGACAGGGTACCGGCCCACCCTGTCGTTTTACCTCCCAGGCCTCCCTGCAGGCACCTCTTCTCCCAACCTCTCCCCCCTGGCAGCTGCCTCAGCGACAGATTTCCTTCCTGCCCTGTGTCAGCCCACCTTGTCTGCTGATTTCATTAGAGTCTAGGGCTTTCTCTGAGGCTCAGAGAAATGGAGTTACTTGTCCAGGGCCACAGTGTGGTAGTGGCAGCCCAGATCTCTCAATTCAAGCCATCCAATGAAGCCCGCACAATGAGAATGATAGTAAACCTGTGAGCATGTCTCAAAAGCTAAGGCTGTGCTGGAG